AATTTTCCCTCTTTTCCTCGCTTTCCTTCGCTTTTAAATAGCCTAAAAGCGCTGTGCGCATTTTACTTTCACTTTAGAATTACCGGCAGTTAGGCATCAATTGCTTGAATGCACAAAATACAACTGATCTGTGATGCAACTGTCGTTCAACTGCATTGAGCAGCCTCATTCAGTTTTTAATTGTAGTGTCTGTTCTTTTACTGAACTAAATGATTTTTATTACTAAAAAAAATCAAAACGACGGTGGGGGTCGGTGACGCGGTGGGCAAGTGACGTAACCGGTGTTGCGGCTTAACACCGGTATCACCGTCAGCACCGTCTATCGCGGCAAGACTAATCAGCACCCGTCAACAGAAACATACAATAGCCGAACCCTGTTTGTTTTACGTGTTATTTATAGCAAACCATATTTCAGATGCATTGTCAGATTTAAGTTGAACCGCGGTCCTAGTGTGTGCCGAACCATGTGTGAAGAACCGTACGGTTCGATTTTTTTCTGCGAACCGTTCCACCCCTACCTGTGTGGGTAACCTTGGCTGGACTGTTTACATGTTAAATGCTGGTGCTGCCTGACTATAAGCTATAAGCGCACATGAAAATGTTTTAAGTTAAAGGAATAGGCTAGTTCACTCAAAAATTACTTTTCTGTCATCGTTTGCATATGTTTTGCAGAATGTCCAAGTTGCTCTTTTTACATACTGTGGAAATCATCTTAGTGTGTGTGTGTGTGTGTTTTGTTTAATAATTGGAAGGCCAACTAGAAATAATTTGGTGTCCCATCCTGACAATTTGGCTAAAAATAATGTGATGTCCCATCCTAATGAGTTGACTCTACTTTATCAGCTTGAATATATTGGCCAACTTTCCTTATTTGTTTTGTTTAGTGAAAGAGAAAAACGGGCAAAAATATATGGCATGCCGCACCGTCCAGCAGTGTTCAGCACGCAGGTTTCACTCTCCCCCTAGCCATCGTCACTGTGTGATGCTCTGCTCAATATTCCACTCTATGAATGTGAGTTCCGTTGAGTTGCTCGTGGCCCATGCGGATGCTCCAGTCGTGTACCGCTCTTGCTCACTGGAAAAGCAAAGTCCACTCAAATAACGTGCCTACAGAAGATTTCAATGTAGTGAATAGAACTTGCAAAACAGCAGTATTTATTTGAAAGTTTTTTTGTTTTTTTTACAATTTAAAAGTCTTTACTGTAACTTTTTATCGAATGAATCCATCTTTTCTGTATAAACATGTTTTTTTCAAAACAATACATCTTTAAAATATTGAAAATGTTTATAAAACAGAACAAGGACCAATTATAACCACATTAGAACATGATCTCTGATCTTCTGGTTCTTCTACTCCTTCCACCATCCCAATCCTGGATTATTGAGCCACGACAGAAGTTTCCACTTTGAATGCTTTAGCCTGGCTGTTTTTTCTCCAGCATCTAAAGTGAGAAAGAAAACAATAACCAAAATGTAAATGTAAAGATAATAATAAAAAAAAAACAATGGTTGTCCAAAAATGTAAAGTATACACTTGAGTTTTCCCTACTGTTAGGGCATTTCTACCTCAGGTCACAAAAGAGTGGGGATTTACAGGATAAGAACAATTTTCTAGAATTTTCGACAGTTTTTTGTCACTTCCTACAGGGCTCCAGACTGCAACCAAATGGTCGCATTTTGTGACCGTTTTTTTCTGACGGTGCAACTAAATTTTGTGAGCAATTACACTAGCATGACCACTACGTTGCCCCACCTCATAAGCGCTGCGATTTCTGTTGCATATGAGAAACATCAAACAGCAAGCGAAACAAAAGCTAGTGAAACCGCGCTACTCGTTTGAGCTGTGCAGCGCAGACCGTTTATCAGCTCGGATCAGTGCAGAGCAAACAAACTTCTCTGAGCTCAGAACAGGTTTAGAAGCACTTGAATTTGCTGCAGAATGAATAAAGGTTGCTGTGAGCTCTAGTGAGAAGCATTCAAATTCTGCACAGAAATCTGTTATAAACAGGTCAAACAGCGCTGACATATAACCAGTAGTAACGCTAACTATAACCATGGTGTTGTGGAAGAAATAGTTAATTTTCATTACATTATGCATTTCAGGGTTTGTACAACCTTTTGAGAGAGAAATTCAAGCACTTTTAAGTATTTCACACAACTATTTAAAGCACTTTAAAACTCTAAAAAGCATACAAATAAAATGTTATTTTTAAAGGGATGACCAAAATATACTTTGTGGTAAACAAACACTTTTGTAAAGTTAAAAAATGGGGCATCAAATTATCCGCTATAACCAGTAGATGGCAGCAGATGAACACTTATAGGCTTATTAGTCATTCATTTCTACTTTTTACTTTATATTTTAAAATTATAAAATCACTATTATAAAATTTTAAATCATCAAGAAATCACATTTTGTAAAAGTTTTGCTCTTTTTTTGTGTATGAAGTAAGACAAGTCACAAAGCCTTGAAAAAAAAACTTCTCTGACTGAATCACACATAAAGCAAGAGAGCTCCTTTTATAATCACTGAAGTTGTTGGTCAGATCCATATAAAACTACAGAAGAATAATGGTACATTTAATAAGAGTAGAATATGAAAGGGAGAAAGGGAGGTAAAGATGTGTGAGCAGTAAATGGGTGGGCTTAAAGGGGGCCTTTACCTTGGGAAGCTGCATTAATTTGGTTAGTGTTGGTCAAATGGGCTTTGACTGTGATGGATAATGTAACCCATAACGGGTCCCCATTGATCCAGCATCTAGCCACTGATCTCCTCTCCAATCCTACATCCCCGTCTCGTGTCCATCCCTCAGGGGCACTTAAGCTTTTCTCTGCCCACCCGCCAGTCAATGGCACAGGCTGTGCCAAGGTGACGGCTGCCCTTTAACTAAAAGCTTTAACAGCGCCCTGCCTCCCTCCTCTGAGCTCTCTTGGAGCTATTTATGCATGAAGATGAAAAAGACTTTCAAAATCAGTACATGTGCACACTCATTTAATATACAGCGCCAGGAATGTGTTGCTTAAATATGACATAGTCTTGACTTGGTAAAAACAAGGGATGCTTAATATATTGAATATTGGCCAGTATTAGTGACTTTTTAATTTAGCAGTATTGGTCAAATTTGGTTATGTACACTGATCTATAATAGAGAACTGAATTGCTCATGACGTCATAAATGTACATCAGATGAACATGATAACATGGCATGCTCAACATATGTATTACAAATGACAAAGTGCTCATTCTGAAATCTGAATAAAGATTTATGCTTTGTATACACTTATACAGGGGTGGCGAACTCCAGTCCTGGAGAGCCGCAGCCCTGCAGAGTTCAGCTCCAACCCTAATTAAAACTCACCTGCCTGTAGCTTCCTAGTAACCCTTCAGACCTTGATTAGCTTGTGCAGGTGTGTTTGATTAGGGTTGAAGCAAAACTCTGCAGGGCTGCGGCTCTCCAGGACCGACGTTCGCCACCCCTGCACTTATACATTAATTCGCCAATTATAATTCAACAATTATTTCGTTAACAGCATTCATTTTGAAGCAGTTAATGTTGGTTAAATTAATAATTAATTCAACATATATACATAACATTTTACTCCCATGGAAACAGTAATGCTATAGTAAAACACCATAGAATTTGCGTGATCTTTCAGAGTCTGAAATAGATGTTGCTCAATCAGGACATTAAAAATAAACACATCATAACTTATTCAGAGAAATAACGCCGACTACATACGGTACGGACTTAAAGACATGAAGCTTTATTTCCAAGATGAAGCATGGTAAGCTTTGAATTTCAGTACAACATAGAGCAATAGGGATGCACCGAATGTTCGGTAACCGAAACACCGAAATAGCTTTTTTTTTGCTATTTTCGGCCGAATAATTTCGGTTACCGAACAATAAGCGAAAAGACCGAATAAACTGTACCGAACAATGACATGACGCGCTCAAATAGCAACCAGCATAAAGTGAGAGGCGCAATGCAACAAACATGTCAGCAGTGTGGAAGCATTTAAAACTGTCCGAGAAAGACGCAAAAATCATTACAAGCACCGACAGCGAGAGACTGTTTAGTGCTGCATCACATGTCTTCGATAAGAAGAGGAAGGGGTGATTGTTGCTGGTTATTGTATGATGATTGAAATTGTGAAATGGCCTGTGCTTCTTAAACAGGGTTCAAAATCCAAAGCGCGAGGAAAATCTGCGCTGAAAGTGTTACTCATCATGCTCAGTCACATTTTTTTAATTTTTTTACAAGGCACGTGACAATGCGATACGTGCGACGTATTCTTCTTCTTCTTCTTGTACGATTTTATGGCGGTTGACAAGCCAACTTATGGTGTATTACCGCCACCAACTGGACTGGAGCTTAATCATATATTGTAGATGAAAATCTACTTGAGGCATAGGAAGCAACCAAGGAGGAATATTCGATATTACAACAGAGGGACTAACTGAGATTTCTGCGTGCGACGTATTCGTAATGAGACTCATTTATAAATCTGCTGCTGTCAACAAAAAGAAGCGCTGAGGTCTTCCTGCGTGTTTAGCCCAGTGTTTTATTTTGTTCGGTTTCGGCTTCAGCCAAGAATTTTCATTTCGGTGCTTCCCTACAACATAGTATCAGAGGTTTGTATTGTATTATTCATTGTATATTCGAATCAATTTCAGTTACTAATACCAGATATATGTTCATGTTTAATATTTCCTGCATAATTATTATAATCATAATTTTGTGTTGGTTCAGTTCCCTGCGTGTCGGCAAGTGCGCAGCAGACACACCCACCTAAAGGATTTCAATATATTGCTTATCCTGCCCAAAAAGACCATAAACATTGCAGATAACATCTGAAGTAAAAATTAATTTACACACACATATCTTAAAAACTAATCCTGTGTGACTGATACGTTTCAAATCAGGTGATTTTAGGTCAAGGCTTTAGCTGTCAGTCAATGATGCTCTCTGCCGCTAGAGAATAGTAAGATGGCGGCTCGAACACTTCCGGTGGCTTCACCGCCTGACGGCAGTTTAGAACACAATGAGTGCTCCAGTCATTATATAGATCAGTGGTTATGTAAGTGCATTCTCATTTATGCCTATTTTTATATTTACATTACATTTGTTGTAATCTAATAAAAATTTTAATGGCACTGTTAAATGTTTGGTTTAAGATAATTCCCTTTAAGATAATTCTCCAGCATGGTTAATGTCTGAAATCACTTTTAAAAATAATGATTTTATTTTTAGCATATATTATATTATAAAG